ATCCAGATTGATGGCTAGGGTTTTTGATACGAAACCAAAAAGATCATAGTGTGCTGAGAACCAAAATAGCGGTTACCTCAAGATTACCAATCATGTAAACGTTAGGGTAAGCATCAGGATGACTGGAAGATAATTATGCGTACTTTGGCGGGTAAAACCTCACCCTATTATTTGCTTTCTTGATGCTTTTTTTAATGGAGGTACTGGCAGTAAAACTAGGATAAAGTAATAATTTATAATTTTAGCCGTGAATGCTTCATCAAATCGCAATCATCATGATCGTCATTGGGCGCAACATCTGACTCATGAGATCTCTGTCCTCCAGCCCTAATAATTGAAGAAATCTCTTGTCTTTATACTGATTCCTAATACAAGATAACAAAAGTGCCTGTAGAACAAAGGGACGGGTCGCCAACGCTTCTGAATACATATTTCTTTTCCTTAGGAGGTACCAGCTAAGTACTCAAGCAGATGTTTGATTGCCTATCTCTTTGCTCGCATCGTGGATATTCTCCTCTTTTCTTGCATTCGTAGTTTATGCAGTCTCGTCGTTTTTCGCTTCTTCGATTGTCTTCTCTTATCATTCGCTGTTGTAAGAATTTTTCATCTCATCTGCTTACAAAGAATTTCTGTCAACATTGCATTCTTCTTTGCATGTTTCATTGTTTCAGCCAAAATAGCGCCTAAGTGGCTAAGTAGATTTTACCTTGTGAGAAAATTACCTTTTGGTCTACGAAGAATAGATTAAACGGAGAATTATCCACGAAAATACGAGCAAATGGATCACTCGTTCTACCTACTATATGAGGTGGACAACTGAGCACCTGCTTCGGTAGTCAACTGGTATCTTCTGCCTGAGAAAAAAGAAAAAAGCTACAATAAACTTACATACCACCTACAACGACTGCGGAAACAACTGAATTTGGGATTTTCACTCACTCCAAACTCAGGGTCGTTGGCGCGCCGTCCCTTTGCCTGCTTTTATTATCTTGTGTAAGAGTCGACTATACCAGTTTTCAAGCAATCAATTGCAGCGCAGTGAAAACGAAACATAGTAGTTACGAAGCTTGGCAGTACTTCTTTAAGCTTTTTCGTGTCTGTATTGCTTTAATGAATTCCGCCGATAGCTTTTCAAATACTTTCGCTTCATCTCAAACGCTGTTGTCAAAGGCAATATCTAGGCAAAAATAAGGTTTTGAGTTTTCATCAAATAATTACCGCC